GAGAGCACGTGGTTTTGTACCCAAAGCAATAACTACCTTGATATAATACGTTTGAAATGACAAAGATTTCTCCAGAAATGTGGTCAATTCTTAAACCACAAACTGTATATTATATTATAGTTTCCAATACAAAGGATAATCGTAGAATAGATAGGTGAAATAAGGTGAGGTGGAAGGTAAAAAGATAGAAGAATTATTTGTCTCTCCTCTGGCAACGAAGGGAAGAAAAGAACAAGAGAAAGATTTCGTGAATTAGCGAGCAGAAAAAAAGTAAAAGGGCGATCGGAAAAGTAAAGGAAAGAAGCTAAAACAAACGGAATGGAAGAAAAAAAAAAGGTTAGGAAGGGTGTGGTGGATGTAAAGCCAAGCGCAACGACTCTCGTAATTCGGATAATAAGGGCAAAGCTTTTCGCACAAAACTTATCGAGGGAATCCCCGTCGTAAATGGAGAAGGAAAAAAATCATCTTTTTTCTCGTCTCGTTTGAAGATGAAAAGATATTTACACGTTTCTCAAGAAAATCGATTATATTTTTTGAAACGTGTTATCTTTAAAATTACTATCCTATACGCAGTATTTATGGTAGGTTCCCTGAAATATGAAAAGGGGGTGATCATTGTCCTTGCCATTGTATATCGTCATCGTAGTTTTAACTCGTAAGGTCATCTTCCACTTGCAACGACGAGAGTTACCCCGGCGTGTGCTCTTTCAAGTGTCTCTTCAACAAGCAAAACGCTCATTCTGCAGTTTTACAAAGGTGCCTCGGTCCCGATTAGTCCCCCGCCTTCGTGACCCAGGGTGTCAACTATTTTTTCTTTTTTTTTCTTTCTTTCTTTCTTTACCTCCTTATCCTCTTTCTCTCATTTTCTCAATTTAATCTCTTTTTTTCCTTCTTTTCTGACGTACACACACGCTTATATATATTGGATATATTCCTCTCAGTTGTCGTCATATCGCTTCTCTGTCATTTACATTGAAAATATGGTGGAACTGAAGAAGGGATGTTTGTGGTGGTGGTTGGCGGCGGGTGGTGCCACTCTAAGTGGAACGAACGGATGCGGGACAAAGTGCGCTTTTCAAACACGAATCGACGTTCGAGCGTACAATTTCTTCTTTTAATTGTAAACTCAAATGAACTTGCCTTTACGCTTAATCCTATCCGAATGCGAAATTGAAATGGCAGTATTATTTTAATCGAATGACAGCGTATCTTTGTTAAAAAAGAAAATGAAAACGTCTACCTTAGTCTAACGCGAGTATTTATTTATTTATTTCTTGTGAAATATGATGAATAGAAAAAATGTAACTTGGATTATTCGACGAATGTAAAAATGCTTTTACGATGGTGCAATAAATACCTTACTTCGGCATTTCTTTTGGATTCTTTATAAATCACGCTCGGTCTCCGGAATCGATGAGTTTCACGGTAGAGTAAACAGCGTAATATATATATTGTGTATATTCGATAGTAAGGGTGGAAATTTTCGGAATACAGTTTCGGTAAAGAAAAATAAATATTGTAAGTAATATAGGACGACTAGAAGAATATAAATCGTGTTTTCCTTTTTTTTTCTTTCTCTAAATTATTTCGTTTTTTTTTTTACTTGAACATTTTCATTTTTCAGTTGCATAAATAAATCAAGATTTAGTCTAAGGATAATATAAGGGTATTTGGATTTTCAAAATAGTTCCATAGTTCAGTTCGAAACTCATCTTCGTAAAGAAGTTCGGAGAGTAAGAGACACTTCAGGTCTAGTGACTGAATATTTCACGAACGATTCTGTATATTTCTTTACAGAAGTTTCAAAAGTAACGTCAGAATATTGTATCGTTCGAGGGAATATAAAGTTCGAAAAAAGAGTTTAAGGGAAGGACTATCGAATTAAAAGACTCGCGTTTAAATTACGAATGAAAGATTTGATTTGAAGGAGGTGAGAAAACTTGGACAAAAAGATCAAACAAAAAAGAAAGAAAATGAATTGCACGTATGTATCGTAAAATTTTGTTTTGTGAAAAATATGTCTCATATTTTCGAGCAAATATATACGCGGACAAGAGATGATATGTTCCCAAGGAAGATGGCAAAAAGAAAAAGAACGTAACAAAAATAGAAAGTCATATTTAAAAACGGTTGTATCCGTCCTTATGTCATTCACGAGAGACGAATAAAATTGTAAGATGAATTGAAGAATTTCAAGGCCAAGTATAGATTTTCATCCTCTGAATATTCTATTTCGATTTAGGATCGATATCACGGGGAGAAGATTATTATCAGGCACGAGAAAGACGTAATTAATGGTAAACCGCTAGAGATCGATGCCAGAAATTCTTGTGTTAACCAATCAGAGATTTTGGATAACCGAAATGCCAATCGTTCGATGCTAAGCTCTTGATTGACAGTTTCATTTCTATATTCAATTATTAAATAGAAAATGATTATTACCGTTTAAGCTTAGTTTCAATTACCGTGTAGTAGAGAGAGAGAGAGTTCCCTAAAGAGGGTACTCGGCCCTTTTAGTTAACCAGCTAACTGTGACGCTTCGTTTTGAAGGTGCACACCGCTGTGTGTCGCGAAAATCGACCGGTGACAAGTCGAGGTTGAAATTGCTCATTTTTAGGATAAAATAAACTCAAAATAATTTAGAAATTTTGAATTTGTTCTTAAAATTACAATTTAAATAGCAAATGGTGACACTACTTTTTACGCATGACAAGTATACTAGTCAAACTCAGTTAACTGGTTAAACTCGGTTCGATCGTTTCGTATGTTCGAAGAACGAACAGCAGATACAACATCAGGTAACCGGACCAGGGAGTCCGGCGGCCTTTGCTCGAAAGCAAAGTGCCGAACTAAATATAACTCCGTTAGCAATACTCGGGCATGTATCTTACAACAGTTAGCCACCACACGTCTTTGTATCTATTCATCTACGTCGACGCTAGTGTCAGTCAAGCACAAGATATTATCCCTTTCGTTTTTTATACTTGCTTTTTTAAGCTCCCCTTTTGTCTCTCAAAGAATCGTACGTTTGGGTATTATCTAAAATTGAAAAGTTACCATTGCACCTGTATACGAATAATATATGAATAGAAATCATATAAGCTACTTTTATTCGTTAAACAAATTAGTAAAAATAACGTAGGATTCATTAACGAGAGTCGTGACTCTTTTCCTCTTATTCCTATCAATAAATTTATTTCAAAGACGTACCTGACTATACTTTCTAAATTTTATCATTATGATTCACTAACATTTTCCGTGATGTACGTCAATGAATCTAGCGATGATACTCTAAAGTAAGTAACGATAATTAACGAGTTTGGAAAATGTTGACAAAGGGTTGATTGCGTTAAATAAATAAACGGACATCGTTAAGTGTATTACAGAAAATTATGTTCAAGTTCATGCATCGGGAGACGTACGTAGTATAAAAGCTTGTTCGCAGGTATAGCATTCTAGTTTTTGGGCTGACTAAATATAGCACACGCGTTACGGCTATAAATCCCCAAGCTCCCGGATTCGGCGAGGCCTCCGTAATGCTGTTCTCTTACTGTTGTGCCACGTCTTTTCTAGAATCGGATGTTAAAAAGTCTGACCGATGTGATCGATGCACCACCCACAGCATTGAGATCCAACTTCCATGAAAAATATTCCATTTTTCAGGATTATTCTTAACGAGATGTAACTACACACCGTATACATAATTTTGCAATAAAATATCCGGATCAGTCATTCAACGAATCGCAGAAACAAAGTAACCAAGGAAGAGTAAAACGAACAAAAGGAGGAAAAAGGAATCGTGTTAGAGTACGGGGGTCTTTTCTGGGCAAACTGGCATGAAGGAGACGTGCCCTATTGTTCTTTGAAAATAGAGCGAGCAAAAGCATTCTCATCAAAGAAACGCACGGCTTTTTCTCGTTAAATTAATTTCTATCTTTATTCCTAGAATAGTATAAGCAACGCTCTTATATTATACTTTTGTCTATCTGCTTATTGTTCGAGATAAAACAATCGACAAAAGATCGTTGCGTTGAACCCAGGCCTACGCAAAAGATATTTTTCTCCAAAGTACCTAATCGACCATACGATTTTTCGCTTGGTATCATTTTCAGACACAACGTTCATTAGATTTCTTATCGAAACTCACGCAACTTTTGATATTCCAATATTCTAAGGCCTAGCTAGATGTTTGTCAATTTAAATAACTTTGGTTTATATTTATCCTCCGAGAGTAGAGATTATTTTTTCTTCTTCTTTTTTTTTTCCATCTAACTCTCGACCAACGGCTATGGTGGGATGAAACGATGAAAAGGTCATACGCGTCTCGGATTAATACTGTTAGGAGTTACGTGCTGATGTTAAGATCGTCTTGTATTTTCTACGACCACGTTCGTTCGCTCTTTGAAACTCTCAAAGGGGGTAATTGCGTCGTTTGAACGTTGCACCCTCTTTAGTGGCCTAGATATTTTCCCGTTCTTTCTTTTATCATTCTACTCAGAGAGCTAACGCAAATCTAACGCAATTTCCAACGCAATGGAAACCCCTAATAGATAGCCATCGTATACATTCACTAGCACGATTATTTCTTTTTTTCTCGATAGAAATTCACGATGAAAAGTATAATATACAAAGTGTAACGAAGTTTCTCATCTAAATCCAACCCACGTACGTGTCAGTAAATTGAAAATATTTTATTCGCATCGGGGGCACACGATTTCTTGGCACGTGTCGAGTTTCTGTCTCGTAGCTTTAGCTCTTAACAAGCTTTCCACTCGCGTCAAGCAGGTAGGACACATGGAGTGTGTTGTGTGACCTGTTGATTGGATCGAATTAGAGTGGTACCCGAGGGACCACTTTGCATGAATATGTATGTTAGAAGAAAGATAGGTTTTGTGGTTTATTCGAGTGGACCCGAGACCTACATACTTTTCTCTTCCCGTACTATCTTGGCAAGTTTTAATAAGAAATAATATAAATATATATGTTAAAATATGTTATAGGTCAGGGAGGAAGGTTCGTAGGAGCCCAGTGCCGTAGCATGCTGGCGTGCTGGGTGAGCCGTTGGTGCGCTATTGAGTCAGCCGTGGTGGTGGTGAGACAGTCCCTCGAGAAGGGTACTCGAATAATAAGTAATAGCGATAGGACCAGAACCAGGACCAGGAGCAGGAAGAGGAGGAGAAGAAGAAGAAGAAGGAGCGATCTCGGTTGGAGAAGCAGCACGGAGCTCGACACCACCGACCGATGAGCGCGGGGGGGGATGGGGGCTCGGCATTGGCTCCGTCAGGGGTGCCGGGCTCCCAGCCAATGGCCGCGACCCCCTCGACCGCGACCCCCCCCCACACCGGCGCGGTCCAGGCCCGTTCCTCCGCGAGCCCTGGCCCAGCTGTTGTTCCCCCAGGCGGTGGTCCTCCAACTGGCCCACCTACCGGTGCTCCGACAGCTGGGGCTGCTGCTCCCAAGGCCGCTGCAAAAAGGCCCGCCCGTCGCGCTGGCAAACCGCCACCCGACAGGCCTACCAGGGCCCTATTTTGTCTACCCCTTAAAAATCCTCTTAGAAAACTCTGCATCGGCGTCGTCGAGTGGAAGTATCCTTTTTTCATTTGTCGAGTCAAGAAAATTCCCTACTCAATAGTACAGAGCATATATAACTTGGGTATTTACAAAGCAATGAGTCAATGGCGCGTGGGTGCAAAATGGTATGACCATGAATTTCGTTTGAAATGGGCTGTGAGCCATCAAGAAATGGCTACCTATAGTAGAAAAATGCCTGACCGCATTTCCGCGATGCCCCTGTTCCTGCATTTATGAAGACTTTTTGTTATCTCGCATTGGAATACGTAAATATATATGATAGAATTTTTCCTTGACAAGGGGGAAGATGAAGAAAAAGAAAAAAGAATTTCTCTGTAATGTTTGCAAGGATTCTCTCGCGAGAAGAAAGTTTTAATCAAGAAAAGAAAAATCTTCATTAAAAATAATTGACACCAATTCGTATTTTTCCTTAATAAGAATCTTTTACAGACCATTCGAATGGCTCATCTTGATGACGATATTTGCAAATTGCATCGCCTTGGCTTTCTACACGCCGTATCCGTTCGGTGATTCCAATCAGACCAACCAATATTTGGTAAGTACTCGTCGTAAAGTTCATTATTAACTTTCTAACGGAACTCTGCTATCGTATCATAGGTCGTCCGTGAGAGTAACTAGGAATAGAGAGAGCTAGTCGACGAAAAGTAAAGAAAAAAAACAAAGAAATGTAGATGTATAACTATAACTAAAAGAAGATAGTATAAGTTCCGTTCGTCGAACCGTTCGAACGTGCCGCGTTATCGATTACGAGAGGGCAGGGTTCGTGGCACGAAAGGCATTCGAGCTTAAAGTTCAATAATTGTTCAATCTTGTCGGCATCGGAGTGCATCCTAGCGCACAGTAATTGGATAGTACAATACGCGTTCTACGACGATACATCAGAGACTTGACAAAAGAAATACAATATTTCTTACCTTTCTCTCTTGGGATTCATTTAAAAAGGTTACAATCGGCTTTTAGCGTTCTGCGTGAGAAAACAAACTCTTCTTACATTGGAAAAAAAAAAAAAGAAAAAAATATAGGAGACCGAGCTCGCTTGCAGTACATCCCACCCTACCCATCTATTTATTTATCTATCTATCTAATACATATGTAGAGATGCATTATTGTACCTTACAAGAATGCAATTTTCCCTTCTTTCACTCAGATACCTGTTACTCTTAATTAGTCCGGCTCACTGACTAAAATAAGTTATTCTTTTTTATATGACACGATTGGTTCTATAAAGGTGCCTATCTATATAAAAGATTAAAAATATCGCGCACGTGTGTTGTCACATATATATATACATATGTGTATAGTATACTAATGGTCAAGAAGGTTTGAAAACGCGATTAACAGTTAAGAACGCTTTCTTTTTATCGAAAAATCGATGGGCTTTCCTACATTTTCTTGAGGAGGGAGGAAGGGAGTTGTACGACAACGCATGATACTTCGAACGCGTAGGTTGTACGGATGTTTACACCCTCGCAAGTAAAACGTGACGTGTTCTTGATATTAATACGTTACACACACATCAAATAGAAAATCAATTCTATCAAAAGAACATACAATGAGATTCTAACAACACTCAAATCGAACTTGATTGTCAATGTATCATCGATACTTTTGAGAAGGTTAACGAAATTTATATATTTTGTTCATTTCAGGAAAAAATAGAATACGTATTTCTCGTGATATTTACGGCAGAGTGCATAATGAAGATCATAGCGTATGGATTCGTCGCCCATCCGGGTGCCTATCTACGAAATGGCTGGAACGTGCTTGATTTTACGATAGTCGTCATAGGGTGAGTTATAATTTTGAATACACCGTTGAAAGAAAACTCCTAACTTTCCCTTAACTATTAATAATTCGAGTAGACATGGTTATTAAATCGTTGCAAATTGAACTAAAAATGAAGTAGCGTCTATTATTGATTCTAATCTAATTGGTCAAACATGATAACGATCGATAGGGTTGCGCACCATAGTGTGTACTTTATGCGCGCGAATGCTAACTTCAAAAGAAGTATAAAAATAGATATTCTTCTATTCCTAAGCAAAAGCTTACAATCATATAATATACGATGATACTCTAACGATTCCTAGCTTGAATTAATAAACGTTCTTCTAACTCGTAGTTTCTTATATGAAAAATCCTTACGCGTTCAATCGTAGTGATTTACTTATGCAAGAAATAAAAGACCGATTCTTGGCCGTTGTGTCACCGGTTGTACGATCTAGAGGCTTTGCTATTGGAAATAAAAAAAAAAATAAAGAAAAAAGAAATCAAGGACGCACAAGGATTGCAAGTGTCGTCTTGGTTACGCGTTAGATACGAAGACAAACTTTTCACGACGTCGTAAAACACACACAGACACACACATATATTATATATGAAATCTCGTAACGATAAAAATATATCTTTTATGTATTTTTTAAGATCATAAAGGAAACGTTTGAAATTGTTCTATTTTTTTGAACAAATTATCAAGAATTTCAAGATCAAATTTGATTCAGTATAATATCCTGGACATCGTCAAATAGTAAAAACCATCTTTTGTTATTTTATTTTGTTTGTAGAATGATGAGTACCATATTAGCGATGCTTATGAAGGAAGGATTCGATGTTAAAGCGTTGAGGGCTTTTCGAGTGTTACGACCTCTAAGGCTGGTTTCCGGTGTACCAAGTAAGAAAATTGCATTTCAAGAGAATGCAATTAATTATCAAATACCCCCATTCTCATACATACATAAAAGGGTTGTGGTTAGTGGTAATTAAAATACTATGGGACGTTTTTAATGTTCATTTTCAATTCAACAGGTCTTCAGGTGGTCCTAAACTCTATTTTAAGAGCTATGATTCCGCTGTTGCACATTGCCTTGTTGGTACTATTCGTCATCATCATTTACGCTATCATTGGCCTCGAGCTATTTTCCGGAAAGATGCACAAGACTTGTAGACACAACGTAACTGGTAATGACACACTTTCATATCTTTCAACAATTATCCAACGAAATATATTTATTTTTCTTCTTTCAAAGTAAAATTTTATAGCAAATAAATTATGCA